TCATTTCTTAAAAATACCCATGATATTGGATGTCAATGAGGAGGCCTTGCCACTCACTGGTGCCTCTTGTAATAGATCAGTGTTTTTCCCTGGAGTAAGAATGGACTTTGGGAGACCATCCCATGTGAAGGGTTGCTCTTTAAGCCTGGACACATAGGGGAGCGCCTAGTCCCTGTCCAGAATTATAAGACATACTTTGGTGATACTCCATGGAGGGCCTTAACCTGCCTGGGGATCAGAGGGAGCATGAGGTATGGGACTGTTGAGGGGCTGGGTTTCTTCACTCCCTTTCTTATCCCCCTCCCCCTGCCTCTATTTAGACATCTGCTTCCCCATCATAGTTCCTTTTCGACTTTCATGTGTTTCCCCTCTGTCTCTGTCTCTGTCTCTGTGTCTGTCTCTGTCTGTCTCTGTCTGTCTCTCTCTGTGTGTCTGTGTGTATGTGTGTGTGTGTGTGTGTGTGTGTGTGTGTGTGTGTGTGTGTGTGTGTGTGTGTGTGTGTGTGTGTATGAAGTTCTGGTGTGCATATAGGTAACATACTGGAGACAAAATCTACTACTGTTTCTCTGGTGCCTTCATTTCTTAAAAATACCCATGATATTGGATGTCAATGAGGAGGCCTTGACACTCAATGGGGCCTCTTGTAATAGATCAGTGTTTTTCCCTGGAGTAAGAATGGACTTTGGGAGACCATCCCATGTGAAGGGTTGCTCTTTAAGCCTGGACACATAGGGGAGCGCCTAGTCCCTGTCCAGAATTATAAGACATACTTTGGTGATACTCCATGGAGGGCCTTAACCTGCCTGGGGATCAGAGGGAGCATGAGGTATGGGACTGTTGAGGGGCTGGGGGGGAGGGGAGTGAGAGGGTGCAGGAATTGACATGTGAAGCAGGCTGGTTTCTAATTTGAACTACAAAAAATCTTTAAAAATGTTTTATTCAATATACAGCCTTAAATACTGTATGTTAGTAAAATGTCCACATTGATACCCTAATCTAAACTTCCTCTACCATTACAAGTGACACCATGTTAAAATTCAGAACTCTGACTTCTCTTTTTTTGAGTGTGTGCACCTGAGATAGTGGGTATGCATATGTTTGTGTTCATGTGTGTGTGCTTATAAGTGTGTTATATTGGGGGGGCAATATGCTTTCATTTTATTTTTGAGAACATATTTTAATAACAATTTCCATTCCCTCTTCTCTTTCAAACCTTATCATATAACACTATACACTATTCTTCAACTCATAGTCATTGCCTTGGTTACCTAGTGTTAGTGATATAACTCACAACACACTATACTGTCCATATCACTATCATGACCCTTGACTCTCTTATAAAAACAAACAAGCAGGTAAAAAAAAATTAAATTATGATCTCCATTATTTGTACAAATAATTCAGTGATTGATTCTTTTCTCACATCAAGAACAAAATCATTGTTCTTCCCAAAGAAAACTGGAGTTTTCTTCTGTCCATCTACAGATTCTTGTACTCCCATCCAAGGATTTCAGCAGATTGTCTTTGCCCACCAGGGACTATATCTTTTATATACTATTTAGTACATAAATAGTGTTCTCTACCTTCATATTATCTGCTATATATACTCTTGTCTGTGTGGGAAGCCAGTTTTCACTTTTGTCAGACTCCATAAATAATTCATGGGAAATTAGTTTTGTGCATTAAATAACGTTTCTGTGTAACACAAATATTTGGAGAATTCCTAGAGAAAAATAGAATTATCAGATGAATGTTAGCTACACTGTCAGACTGCTTTGTGATTTAATTAATAGAATCAAGAGTTTTTATAGAACAGTGCATAAGTCCATTGACTAAAACTATAAAATATCTTACTAGTATACATTTAAAGTGGACAATCAGAATGACAGGAGTAATAGTTGATTAGATATTTTTGCAAAGCAGATCTAGGAATCAAGTGGTAATCTGAAGAAAAACAGAAATACTAAGGATTTTAAAATTAAAAGGAATTCATTATATTATATTTAACCCCAAATTAGAAATGATGCATAAAATATATGTTAGTAAATATAATTGAAATTAAACACACTTGGGGATATAACACACTCACCAGGGAAATATATATATTCTAAAATAACTCTAGAGACAGGGAGGAGAAAACTCATGTAGAGTTATCTGTATGGGGAATCCCAGAGACCATCATAAGAGGATAGAATACTACTACTACTGTATTTGGTTGCTTCTAAGAAGTGACACCTAAGTCCCGACTGCAGAAATCACTGCATTTTGTGTATGGATCAATGAGAATTTGAACTTGAACTATATCAAAGCCTGATGCCCGAAAACCAATTTTCTGAGAACAGGAAGGTTTTAGGAAAGCAGTTAAGGTGGGAAAGAGATGAAGTACCCAGCCCAGTTATGATGTCTTTGAATGAAAAGCAGGGCAAGATATCATTAAAGACAAAGTAGTGGCTCTTATAGATGCTCAGTAAATAGTAGCTACCTAATAGTATCCATGGCTTGCCTAACAAGGGAAATCATTCCTCACGATGTGAAACAGCAAAGGTCCTGGAACATAGAAAATATTATCACTCCTTTCATTAAACATATATAAAACACTAAATACATTATAAAAATAATCCTTATACTCACACAATATTTTTGACCCAGAAATACTGATGATATTCAGCGGGTTGTGCTTGTGTGTGTGGTGGGGGGTGTGCATGTGTGTACTCAATGACAATAATGAAGTGGTCATGAATTTGAGAGTGAAATGAGGACTACAAAGGGAGATTTGCAGAGTCAGCGATGTGGAAATTGTGGAGTCTTGCCTGAAGTACTCAATCCCTTAAAATAGAAAATTTAAAACACATAATGAGGGGACTTAGAAAGTATTATTTCAGCAGAAGAGTAGGATTAGGTGAACATTTAGGAATATAATGACCAAAACTCATAGAACAAATGAATGAAAACATGATATTAATGAAGAAAAATTAATCCAAGAAGAAAAGACTCAAAAACTCAGGTATGCATACAAGTGGATTTCATGAACTTCAATGGAAAATAATACCTAGAATCTTAAATGGTTCAGTACTTTTCCAAACATTAGAAGGTAAGAGATAAAAGTGGATGCCATTTGACCGAACATTTACAGGACATTATTCTCCCAGAAATTAGCAGAGAGAATGAACAGCACTTGTTTCTAAGGAAAGACATCTAAAATACACATAGGTGGATATAATTTCATGTCATTTCTACAGAAATACTGAGACTTGTACAAAATGTATACATTCAAAAATATGGTGAGAAGACATGCCAATGTACCGAAACACAAAATTAATGTGTTTAGTAGTTGATATGAGAGGAATCTAAATGGCTGAAAGACACATAAGAAAGTGTTCACCATCCTTAGCCGTCAGGCAAATGAGAATGAAAACAAACCTGAAATACTATCTTACACCTGTCATATTGGCTAAAATTAAAGAAAAAAAAAAAAACAAAGACAGTTGATGCTGGAGATGATGTGGAGAAAGGGGAACACTCCTCCCCTGCAGCTGAGAGTGGCAACTTGTTCAGCCTCTTTGGAAATCAGTTCAGTGAATCCTTAGGAAAATGGAAATCAGTCTACCACAAGTTCCAGCAATTCCACTCTTAGGCGTATACCCAAAAGAGGCACATTCATACAACAAGGATATCTGCACAACGATCTTCATAGCAGCACTATTTGTAATAGCCAGAACCTGGAAACAACCTAGATGAGCCTCAACTGAAGAATGGATAGGGAAAATGTGGTGCATTTACACAATGGAGTATTACTCAGCGGTGGGGGGTGGGCAATAGAATCTTGAAATTCCCTTGCAAATGGATGGAACTAGAAGAAACCATTCTGTGTGGCGTAACCCAGTCACAAAAGGGCAGGAATTGTATATATTCACACATATGTGAATTTTAGACATAGATTAAAGGATTGCCAGCCTGCAGCACAGGCTGCCAGAGAGGCTGGTAAACAAGTAGGACCCTAAGAGAGGCATATATGGTCCCATGCAGAAGGGGAAAGGAAAAAGATCCCCTTCGGAAATTGGGAGCATGGGAGAAGGGAGAGGGAACGAAGAGAAAGAAAAGGGGAGAAGTGGAGAGGTGAGAAAGACATGATGGGACAGGGAGGTTGAGTTGGGGGAAGAGCGGAAGAGAGCAAGATAAGAGATAATATAATAGAGGGAGACATTATAAGTTCAAAGAGAAATCAGGAAATAGGGAAATGTCTGGAGATCTACAATGATGACACGCCTAACAATCTAAGCAACAGAGGATAGGGTACCTTAAATGCCCTTTCCTGATAATGAGATTGATGACTAATTTATATGCCATGGTATAGCCTTCATCCAGCATCTGGTGGAAGTAGAAGCAGACACCCACAGCTAAACCATGAACTGAATGGAAATCCTGATGCAGAGAAGAACTGATGAGCAATGGGGCCCAGAGCAGGCTGGTGAAACACACAGAAACAGCTGATCTGAACAAAAGAAAACTCTTGCTCCCCAAACTGACAGCTGGGAAACCAGCATGTGATTGATCCAGCGCCCCTGAATGTGGGTATCAGTGAGGAGACCTTGGAAATCTATGGGGCCTCTTGTAGTGGACCAGTACTTATCTCTACCATAGGAATGGACTTTAGGAGCTCATCCCACATGGCGGGATTCACATTGAGCCTAGACACAAGGGGGCTGGCCTAGGCCCTATCCCAGTGAATGTGATAGAAATTGAAGGCCCCCTATGGAAGGCCTCTCTCTTTGTGGGGAGCAGAAAGGGCATGGTTTAGGTAGGGTGTTAGTTTTTGGGGCAGGGGAGTTGGGAAGGGAGAGGGACCTGGGATTGACATGTAAAATAATTTTCTTTCTAATAAAAAAGGAAAGAAAAGCAAAAAAGAAAAAATTAAACAAAAAACATAAAAACAAAACAGAAAAGAAATGGTAAGACATATACATAAAATAATGATTTGAAAACATGGTCAGCACACATGCTAATACATGAAATATAAATATTTAATGGAGTTTCCCATTCAAGAGACTAATTATGGAAAATGATAAATACCAACTTATCCTTTACAATACAACAAAGTAGGTGTGGTGACTGTATCTTCAGTGAGAACTTCTCAGGATTTGGGGAGAACCTTCCATGCCTGAATCTGAGAATATCTTGAACAGGCTTGAGAGACTCAACATCAGGGTCCTGAAATAAAACAGAAATGTTTAAGCTCAAACAGTGAGAAACTGCAAATCAATACAGCTCTAAATGTGTGTCGTTCTTTAGTTGTAGTGGTCAATTCGTTCAAAATATTTTCAGAACCACTAGAAATCCTATATTGATAATAATGCCTTGAAAATAAGAACCAGGATACCAGAAAATGGAAATATTTCCCATCCTCTTGGATAGGTAGGATCAACATAGTAAAAATGGCAATCTTGGCAAAAGCAATCTACAGATTCAATGCAATCCCCATCAAAATCACAACACAATTCTTCACAGACCTTGAAAGAACAATTCTCAACTTTATATGGAGAAACAAAATACCCAGGATAGCCAAATCATCCCTATACAATAAAGGAACATCTGGAGGCATCATCATCCCTGACTTCAAGCTCTATTACAGAGCTATAGTCCTGAAAACAGCTTGGTATTTCACAAAAATAGATTGGTAGACCAATGGAGTAGAACTGAAAACCCTGATATTACCCCACACACCTATGAACACCTGATTTTTGACAAATAATCCGAATTTATACAATGGAACAAAGAGAACATCTTCAGCAAATGGTGCTGGCATAACTGGTTGCAGACGTGTAGAAGACTGCAGTTAGACCCAAGCCTATCGCCTTGCACAAAACTAAAGTCAAAATGGATCAAAGATCTCAACATAAATCCAGCTACACTGAATCTATTAGAAGACAAATTAGGAAATACCCTTGAATTCATCGGTACAGGAGACTGCTTCCTGAACATTACACCAGTTGCACAGACACTGAGGTCAACAATTTATACCTCCTGATACTGAGAAGCTTCTGTAAGGCAAAGAAGACAGTTAGCAAGACAAACGGCAGCCCACAGACTAAGAAAAGATATTCACCAACCTCACATCTGGCAGAGGGCTGATCTCCAAAATATACAAAGAACTCAAGAGGCTAGTCCCCCAAACACCAAAAAAACCCAATTAAAAAGTGAGGTACAGAACTAAATAGACAATTCTCAATAGAGGAATCTAAAATGGCTGAAAGACACATGAGAAAGTGTTCAACATCCTTAGTCATCAGGGAAATGCAAATCAAAACAACTCTGAGATACCATCTTACTCCTGTCAGAATGGCTAAAATCAAAAACACCAATGTTAGTTTTTGCTGGAGAGGATGTGGAGAAAGGGCAAAACTCCTCCACTGCTGGTAGGTGTGCCAATATTTACAGCCACTTTCGAAATCTGTATGAGACTCCTCAAGAAAATGGGAATCAGTCTACCACAAGATCCAGCAATTCCACTCCTAGGCATTTACCCAAAAGAAACACATTCATATAACAAGGACATCTGTTCAACCATGTTCATAGCAGCATTATTAGTAATAGCCAGAAACTGGAAGCAGCCTAGATGCCCCTCAACCGAAGAATGGGAAGAGAAATTGTGGTAATTTACACAACGGAGTACTACTCAGCAGAAAAAAAAAATGGAACCTTGAAATTTGCAGGAAAATGGATGGAACTCGAAGAAACCATTCTTAGCAAGGTAACCCAATCACAAAAAGACAAACATGATATGTACTCACTCATATGTGGACCTGCCTTATGATACATAGCAGTGACCATGCTTTATCAGAGCTGTTTTTAATGATGGAGTTCAGAATGGTTTCCTCCCTGATGATGACTGAGAAACTAATTTAAAAAAAATGGCGCCAAGTACCACAAGAGTAACAGAACTGTGCTGTTTTCTGGGATTTTGTTTTTTGCTTTGTTGTTGTTGTTTGTTTGTTTTTTTGTTTTTTTTAAATGGAGTGTGATGGATGTCTCCACAATTTTGTGCAAAGGACTACAGAACCTGGAAATTCTGTAGCTGCTCTTGATGCATATCTCTCTCTCTCTCTCGCTCTCTCTCTCTATATATATATATATATATATATGTATATATATGCAAATTGAAACTCAAATATGTGATGAATCCAAGTTGTTTCAGTGAGTGCTCACCTGTACATGCAAATTTGATTTCATCTTTAGTAACTAGTAAAGTTATATGCTTGCCAATAAAAAGTGACACACTGGAAGACAAATGCCACACAATTTAATTTTATGTGTAACCTAGAAATGATGAACTTTTTGGAACAGAGAGCAGAATTGTGACTATTAGGCTTCAATGTGGGACTTTTAACAATGGGGAAACGATTGGATTAAAGATATAAAACTGCAGTTGGACAAGAGGCATGGACTCTCTGAAGTCTTGAGGTCTACCTAGAGAGTGTTTAATATGGTTGATAACAATATGCTATGTTTTAAAAGTTGTGAGATAGTATACTTTAAGTGTTCTCAAAACAAAAATGATGAATATGTGTGATATAACATGTTAATTGGTTTAATTTAGTCATATCGTTGTTAAGATACTGTATTCTCTATCATAATTGTGCATGACTTTATTTATGAACTAAATAAATGAATGAAAAAAAAGAAGTATACTTTCAGGCTATAGGTGTAGGTTATATTTTTCCATGTTTTTCAACCAGACTAGAGAAGACATCTTTTTTATGTGAAAAATAAAACTATGAGATACCTCAAAAAAAAAAGAAAAAAAGAAAAGAAGAACCAGATAGGAGCATTATTTTCACTTCGTATATATTAAAAGTAAGCTCTGAAGTATTAATAAACACAATACTTTCTAAGACGTGCAGCAAAAGATATTATTGCAAAGGAGATAAATTCCTATATGCACTCTTTGGTGGAGGGGCTAAATCAGTGTGTTTCTACGGGCTCCTAATCTGCCACATGACGCTGGAGAAATGAAAATTTCCTAAGGGTTTGAGAAGTAGAAGAAGAATAACAGAAGGCCTGGTATGAAATAAACAACTGAAGAATATACTTCTTTAAATTTGAGGTACATGGATGCCAACTGGAGTTTCATATGGACTTTTGACAATAAGTGTCTGTAGGTATGCTCAAAAGTATAAAACATTCTATTTTATATGGGGTAAACCAAAGAATACTTGGAAAAATATAACTTATCAAAGAGATTTGAAAAAAATTAGTTTATCAAGTTAACCACATACAAAGATGTTTAATGGGCAACCCTGAAAACATATAAAATTACTTTACACAGACATACAGGGTGTACTTCTTTACTTAGAAATATATATGCAAATAATATTTTCATACATGTAATATCAACTTATATTGAAAAAAGGATATGAAAGTAAAGGAGATTAAGGAGGCATGAATAGGAGGATTTCTAGGAAGAAAAATAGGAATAAACTATGTAATCATATTGTAACCTCAACACTTATTAATTTTTTAAATACAAAAATATAAATTGCTCCTTGACATGCTTTCCTGTTATTCATCTTTTGATAGCGAGACAGGAAAAATGACAATTCTATCAGGACAGGGCATCCATAAAATTAATAGAAAATTGCTCTAAATATCTACCTGGTGGACCATGAAGTTATTAGGTTTACAGATGGAAATGAGGCACACATATTACCAAAAAGCTCAAAGCAGCATAGGGAAAGACTTTTGATAGCTGCACAGGTATATGTTCCTTGCTCTGTCTGCCAGCAACTTCACTGAACATACACCATTCCCATAATAATTATTTTCGATGAACAAATATGAGGGACTGTTAAGAAAACTTTTCAAACATGGAAGCTAATGAGCTTCTTTAATAGTGTAAGTGAAATAGGGGCCCCAAGTCCAGGAAATGTCCCTTTTAAAGGAAATCCATGCATTCTCAGAAAATATATTTCCAAAAGAAAATGCCCTAAGCTGAGTTATGTAAGGAAACACCATTGGGACAGAATGACCATAAACAACACTTGTCTATCCAATTATTATTAATTCACCTCATATTGGGAATTAGGCAAGGAAACAAGAAGAGTGTGTAGGTCTTGGTGTAATATGTTATCTGAATAGGGGAATCCATTAAACTGCTAGCAGATGTGGACAAACTACAGGTAGTAGTTTGTAATGTTAATTCATCATTTACAAATATATACAAATACATAATTCAATCAACTCTGCATTTTTAATTACAATTCATAAAAGCCATTAATAAGGCATTACATTATGAATTACTTTTTTATTTTTTTACTTTTATTTTTGGAGGGTCAAGGCAGGGTTTCTCTGTGGAGCCCTACTGTTCTGAAACTCACCATGTATAACAGGCTAGCCTCAACCTCTGAATTTAACTGCCTCTGCCTCCCAAGTCTTCGGACGAAAGGAATGAACCATAACTGTTTTGCCAAAATGAATTCTTAACAGCACTTCTTATATAATTATGAAATTATATAAAATACAATCATTAAATTATAATAAAATCCAGTAAATTATACATTCAGATCCAACTCCAAGAAATGTCTTCCCACCACTTCCCTACACTGCCATGCTTACTACTGATCTCATGCTTTGGTGAAGCAGCATTTATTTAGAACTTCCATATTGCCCTGAAGCATTAGCTTTCTATGTTATAGAAGTCACACTAAATGTTGCTATACAAACAACATCTCAGAAAGGAACTGATTGGATCCTTTTAAACAAACACCTTCATGAGTACATATGAATAATCTAATTAACACAGTTTTCTCAATAAAATATAATCTCTACATGCACAAAATTCACTGGAACTTGTGGACCTGACTACTGTAAGTATTATCTGAGTCATCAGAGACCTTACATGTTGACCTTTCAACTGTAGTAGCAGGTGTCACCTCTCCTTCCATCATACCTTTCTTCTGTTTAGGCCCAGGCTGTGCAAATCATCCTCTTTGCGACATATCTTTACACAGAAGAAAGGGACAAAGATATTAATCTGGAAGCACAGTTGCCCAATTCAAGGATAGACTTGATTGTCTTCGGCTATATTGCTTCATCATAGATGCTCTCTGTGAAATTCTAATGGGGCTTGAAAGCCTCCCAGAATAACTTTACTACAGAATAATGCATTGTTTCAGTATTTTTTCATAGGAGCTCTTCTTCAACGGAAATCATAACAGCACAAGTTAGACCTCTTGCTTTGCTTATATGTTCTTGAATATCCTCCAAGATAAAATATCACTTCATGGACACTCTCTATATGTCTGGTTCTGTCACTTAAAAGGCAAAATAAATATTCTCCTAAGACTTCAGAATTCATCCTAATATGAAAAAGTACGTTCAGTCTTTTAATCTTGTTGAACATAATGCTCAGCAAAGCCATGAAAGGACCATGACACTCTCAAAGCCCTTGCTGTGAACACAGCACAAACAACTGGGCATCATACATGACTGTCTTCTTACTTAGGTCCCCCAATACATCTACTGTCCTGTAGCTTCTGACTTCCCAAGGGAATCAATTGTAGATGTTCAGTAGCCCTAAGTGCTGCATGAGCCAGGGCAATCAGAGAACGATGTGCATTTTATATATCAGTTTATGCATTCTGTGTCTCAAGCGTGAATAATAATAATATTTCTCATTTTTCTAGGCTTCCATAGCCCTAAGACTGATCTTGTTTGTCCCCTTGTGGCACAGATACAGAAGTCACCCTATGAAAGAGTCTTTTTTTGTTGTTTTTAGAAACTTGTTCATATCACCAAAATGTTCTATGTTGAATTATTTTTATTACAATGTCTCACATATCTGGTCTTAAATAAAACCTCTGGATAAAATCTTCCAAATAGGTATTAAAATGTATTAAAGGGAGTACTTATGTGGTAACTATTTGTATGTATAAATTATTTGCTTCCTAATTACTGCCTGATTCTCCCCATGGAATCCAGTTTTGCTGATCACTGGGACTCATCTATATTATTCCTATACTCTATGACACTTTTCCATATACTCAGCTAAACAAAAAATATCCTTTTCTTCTACAGTCCACAATTTATTTATGAAGTCTCACACCTGCAATATTATAACCAGTGTTAGCATGCATATTGCTTATTCAGATGTCCATGGAATTTATGTCCCAGATGGGTATGCATCAGAACAGACACCATGTGTACACACAAAAACAATGCCTAACATAGTACATGGTAGTGAAAAAGACCACAGTACTCTATTTCCCCTATGCATACACTCTGCCCATAAGGTGTAACTGGAGTGGCATGTTATTACACCCTTGTACATTCCATTACTGTAAAACTACTTGCCAATTTAATGTACATTCAAACAGTCATGTAAATATTACCTATGCAATGTGTCCTCCCTCATGCAACTTTGGGGGAATAATCCCTCTACACTCTATGATGACATTTTACTATTGTTGTTATTAAAATGGCAATTGGCCAAAGGATATGCAGGATTTTCATGGCAAAGAGAACACTGGGGAGAAGTTTAAAGTCAGAAGGACACCGTGATATGCAAATCTAGCTGACACAAAAGAATGTAATGAGGTAAAGAGGCCTCAGGGCAGCACATACATAAATGGAAATGAATTAATTTCTGAGAGATAGATAAAAAAGTCATTGACTTTTTGACCATTTTGCAATTAGTCTTAAGTTCCTGTACAGCTATATGGGGAGTGGTTTGGGGGACAGAAATGTCTACTGACAATTTTCTTATTCCCCACATCAAGAAGAACATCATTTTCTTTTACCAAATTCATCTGCATTATTTGTTCATACACCCCACTAACACAGTGCAATGAATAAACCAACATTTGGAAAGAGATGTAGACTATGCCTATGACTCTTAATTAATATGTTCAAAAGAGCAGACATATTTATTATACCACCAAGATAAGCTCTGGGAAAACAATAATTCTAATGATACTACTTACTCCACATAGATGAAATAATCACTGCAGTGTGAGCACTACCAACCAAATGCCGCAGCACAATGATTTTACCTACAAGAAATGATTTCTTTCCTGTAATAACATAGACAGAGCCATCATTCCCTCAGTTTTCTCACCCTATACACTCAAGTCCCAATCAGAGTCCCTGTAGAATTTGAGCATAGTTGCATAAAATAGGAGGGAGGGATAGGCTCTGAAATCAGATAACAGTCTTCTTACTTGGGCTGCTCTTCTACATATACTGGAACTAAATAATCCTACATAGGATGATCTTTCAAAACTGTCACAGCTAAATTCTCCAGGTCAACAGATGTATAAATTAAAAGATACTCCTATATAACATAGTAATTTAAAGCCACCTGTGGACAGACTTTGAATATCCCCCATAGAAGGCCTCCTCTTCCCTGTGGAGCAGAATGAGATTGGGATGGGGGTCTGTGGGGTCAGGGGAGGAGTGAAGCGAGAGGGAACTGAGATTGACATGTTAAAGAAGCTTGTTTCTAATTTAAATGAATAAAAGTCCATGGAAATGTTTAAATTTATCTGCCTACTTGAACTTAAGTTTAATGAAAATGGATGGACAAACTTGCAAAGGTTTGCAATAGGTGACTATAACATATAGGTTATAGAATCATAATGAGAATTGTGTATGCCTATCCTAGAGACAATTACTAGCTATGTGAACTTATCACCTGTCTTGGAATGAATTGTTAGCACAGATAACAAAACTGAAACTTTTTAATTCTGCCAGCAAAGTTAAGGACATGTTGCAGTCTGAATTTAGGCCATAGCTTTTTCCTTATTCCTCCACACGTTTTTCCTATGATTTCCTAACTGCTGTCCACATACACTTCAATATTTCATTAAACAATAAAAAAGCTAAAGATTCAGTACTTTAACAAGTAATACTTGCATAGAATATAGGTGGAATTTACTCAATAGTGTAATAAATAACTCAGGGGTTGAATTATGTAAATGAAAGATAAGTGACCATTGTCTCAAAAGATAATGAGGATAAAAAGAAATATGTAATTATACACAGCAAAGTTTTCCACTAAAATAATAATAATTTCTCAAATCTGAAATTATGTGAGGTGTTTAGAACAGGGATGTAGGAGGCTGAGACATTGGTTGCTAATTTGGAAGCGTAGTGTCATGAACTGTAGATTAGTGAAACCAGACACTACACATCCCTCCTAATAATAAAATCAAGAACCTAGATGGACAGTTACCACAGGTACTAAAATTACAGAACCAGTCTTAAGAGTCCTAGGACTTGACAACTTCCCTGCCTAAAACGACTTCCCACCTAGGCATATTTGATCAAAAAAGAAAAGTAACATTAGAATGAAAGTCAAGGACGATAAAGGCTGACCTTCTACATGTTCCTCCAGTATTCTTTCACCATAACCCCGAGTGCTTGTTCCTCAGCACTCAGGGTTCCAATTTAATTTCTGAAATATCCCTCAAGTTCAAATTTAATTTCTGAAATATTAGCAAGTAAGAACGTGTCTATGGTGTTCTACTCTGAGCCACTAAGATGTAGTAGACATGAGCAGTACAGAGGAATCTCTACTAAATGCCACATCACATGTGAGCCAAGCTTCACTCCAAACATTCACATTTACTACACGTTCCCAATACTTTGATTTTAGAATTTCTTACAATATTAATGTGGTAGAGAGAGTCTTTTAGGTCATTCAGCTTATATCTGTGCTGATATTAATTTGAATATTATATTGCAATATTAATTTGAACACTGTGGTAACATTGGTGCACAAATTTTGTAAATTCATGATCTTCCTATATTTCCTCAAACAACATCATTTTCAAAGCTTAACCTTTACTGGGTTACCAGAGGCCTGGCAGTTCAACTCCACATGTGAGATTTTTCTGATATCTCTTGTCAGTAAAATACACTTAGATACGGAGATATGGATATTTGAAAAGAACCTATAGCTGGAAAATTTTAAGGCAGTAAAATATCTATCCTACGTAATATATGTATCCATTAACACCCAGATCATTACAGAACTCATGCTCAGCACAGCAGCTTCGTTTAGCAGCAGAAGGATCCATTACAAAATCCACTGGTCAAAATGCAACTGATTGAGCTATGCCCAAAACCAACTGGTGAATAAAGAAAGAAAACCTTAACTCTACACTTGAGACTCAGATAATATTGTGGAAGAGGTGGCAGAAAGACTATCAGATCTGGAGGAATAGTATGTTTGCTGTGAGAAAGTGTCTTCTGTAAGAGACTGTAAATGTTCATTGACTAAACCTCAAAATAATACATGAAGATTAATAAAAATCAAAATGACACTTCACTTCCAGTTGAAATGCCAAAGTGGGTGGGAAAAACTCACAGGGTCTAACTGTTCGCTGAAGAGCTACCTGTAATGACATAGGCTAAAATATGATGAAGCTGACTTCCCCAGGGAGTGCCCTTTGATGGGACAGATGAGACAAATAATAAAGCCCTGAACATATGCATGCAGGCTCTGTGTGAAGAATATACAAATTCTGAAGCATTCCTCAGTTTTGTTTAGTTACACATAATTACATCTATGCGAGTAAATATTAATTAAAATAGGTCATGTGGAAGTTTTTCTGCAATTCTAGATATTTCTGTGTTGAATAATATTTGATGACCATTACCACAGACACTAACTTATGGCTACATGATTCCATCAGGTTCCAGCTTTAGGGATGCCAGATGCTGCTCTGTATTATTGGTCTAAATGTGGCTCCTAAACTTTTGACCTCCATAACTATAAAGAATACTACCTGAAATTTGCATGAATTTTATTTTACCTGAATTTTATTTTACCTGCAGTATGTGAAGCCATTATCAAATTGTCAGCCTCACACAGCTTTTTGCTATAGTTCTTTCCTTACAACTAAAGTATCTCTCATAGCTGAATGTCATCATAAAAGACATTTGCTGTAAACACTGAAGCAGCCATGTTTCCTCTGCAGCTGCTTACTGACACTTCAGTCACTGATATGGCTTCCCAGGTAGAAATCAAACATATATGTATCAAGCATACCTGTTACCAACAACAGAAAGATTGTTATCCTGAGATTTTTCCAATCACTTTAATTGTCCAGTTGACCTCAACTTAGTACTATGCTGCACAACAATCTCCATTGTCCATGCATCTACCATGACCCTCCTACTACTCTCTTATGAAGACAAACAAACTGAAATTCTACTCTGTAATAAAATAATAATTTGTGCAAATTAGCTTCAGTTTATTGTCTGTTTCTGCGGGGTGAAATTCTAATCACGCCCCCTTGGGGGCTGGCACAGATACTTTTATGGCCATGCCAACTTGGGCGAGGTCAGAGTGACATAGCAAGTCTTTAAATATCAGAGATGCACTCTTGAGGCCCTCTTTTCACTCTCCCACCTAGCTAAATGGACGAGCAGTCATCTGTTGTTAACCTGGTCAGTGGCTCCATTGCATAAGTACTTTCCTAATAAACCATCTGTTATGAATCTAGTTCTGATTCCATTTGTTCCACTTTAGGTTGTGTCATATTGTAGGGGGAAATGCTGACTATCCACTTGGGGACTGGCACAGGTGACCATGTCCATACCCACTTTGTGGCTATGGTGAGCATTTTCCCCTACATCTTTCCTATATAAGAACAACATCCTTGTTCTTCCCAAACAAAACTTCATTTTTTTTCATCTACACTTTGCTTCTACTCCCCCCAAAGCTTTTCATCAGATTGCCTTTTCCCAACAGGTGCTATAAGTTTTATATAGGTGCACAGACAGATGTCCCAGACTTCCTAATCTCTGTCTGTGTACCCCAGCCTGTCAACAAATTCATTTTCCCTAATGTTGAGCTTGCATAAAATAGTTGTAGTTAGTTAGTAGTATTCCTGAGAAGATACCTCAGTGAAAAACAGATATTTGGAGAAATACCAGTTGGAAAAGTAAAATAATCAGCCCATATTCAGACACCCACAAAAGACTGGATTTTCTCCTATTCAATATAATCAAATCTTTTTATATTAAACTGCAAAAGTCCAGTGACCAAAAAGTATAAAATATCTTACTATTCTAATTTTAAAGGTCTATTGGGACTACATAAATAACACTTCGACATTTACTTCTGCAAATCAGTTCTGTAAGGACTCAAGAAATAAACCTGAAGAAAACTAGAAAGACAAAGGATGATAATTTTCTCAGAGAAGAATAGGAGGTACATACAAATATCTTGGTCCATACAATTGTTTTCAAGGGGTGATACAAGAGTCTACTACAAAAGTACAGTCTATTACTCTATTACTATTGTACTTGGCTCTTCCAAGAAGTAAGAGGTAAATACCTTTCTCAGATATAACTGAATCTTAGATTTCCATGCACAAGAATTTGACTTGAATATGTCATACTTTTTCTATGAGGACTAGATTTCAGAGAAAATGATGGTGGTAGGAGAGCAGTTAGGGAGAAATGTGACAAGTGTCCAACCCAGTTACCATGCTTTTAAAAGACCAGCATGGCAAGATATTAAAGATGCACCAGAGGCCTTACAGCTTGTCAATAACTATATTATCAGCCTAATGGTATGCAATGCTTGCCTAACTTTAAAAAAATTTATGCCTAATAATTTAAAACATCAAAAGTAATGTGAGTGTTAACATCATAGAACTTAGATAATACTACCACTAATTTCATAAAACATTTTAATCACTAACTGCATTACAAATTGTATCATTATACCCAAAGAATAGTGTTAAATAAGAAACACTAATAGGTTTCAGTAGATTATCTTTGTGTGTGTGTGTGTGTGTGTGTGTGTGTGTGTGTGTGTGTGTGTTTGTGTGTGTGTGTGTGTGTTGTGTTATCAATAATAATAATGAAAGTGTCATTAATATGAAAGTGGGATGAGGAGTACACACAAAGGGTTGGAGAGATAGAGATGTGGAAATTATGTAAATACCTAAGCTTTCTATGAAGCACTTAATTTCTTAAAATAAACTGTAAGGCAATTAGAAGAAGATATGAATTCAGCAGAAAAGTAGGGTGAGAAAAATTGGGATGAAACAAACAAAACTCATTTTGTAAATGTTGTAAATGGAAAATTACACGTATTAAGTACAGAATAATATGTAATAAGGCTGGCATCACCTCAGATTTCTTGAGTCAAGTGGTACAGTTGCTTTTGCCTCAAAAACATGTGGCACTTTGGTAATACTCATGTGTATATGGTTGATTCCCTGACTAATTTTTAAAATATTTTAAGGTTTTTTTCACATTGAGCCTCGGACCATTCTTTTGCTTGTTAAGTATTTTATCATTGAAGTATACTCAAATAGGTTACAGAAATTATTTTAAATATTTTAAATATTGATCATAAAAGAAATCCTAGCAATCATTTCTGGAAAAATTCTAGTAAGTTTCCCAGGCTGAGTGTCACCCAACCAGTAATCATAGAACTTGGGAGGTGGAGGCAGGGGGAATAGTAGTTCAAAGCCAGCTTCAACAATGTAAGTTTGATGTGCCTTGGCTGAGATACATTTTGACACTTGAAACTCAGAAAACAACTGTTAAAATTCATTGCAATGTTGCTAAAATAATGAAGGTCCCTGGTTGCTTTTGACAAAAGAGAAAGGGGCTAACATCCCCAAATCTGTTTTTGGTGACTATGTTTCTCTTCTGTTTAATATCCTTCCTAATTAAAAAAAAGAAAGATTAATCTATGATGACAAAATACCCAACAAACAAGGTCAGGTATACAACTGGAATTTCATGAAATTAAATGGAAAGTTATACCTAGAATCTAAAAGGTAGAGTGCTTTCCTAAGAGTTACAAAGGAAAACATACAGATGGACAGCACATCACAGAACATTTAGAACACTATGCTTAGGGAAGTTTGTGGAGAAAATGAACATTAGGTGTTTCTGTGGCAAGAAATATAAGCTACATGTAGGTTGAAAGAATATCATGTGATTTCCATAGAAATAGTAAGACATGTATGAATGTACGTAGTTAAAATATGGTAAACATATTATGCAATGTTTGTTTGATATCCCTGGGAAGCCAAACCTTTTCTGAGGGATGATGGATGGAGGGTAGATCTGGGAAACAAAATGTATATGTACAGAACTATAAAAATATCATTGAGTTTTCTACACATGAAACTAATAGTGAAATAGAAAAGGAAGAAAGACCCTCAAATTACAATATAAGAAAGTAGGTGCGCTGTTTGTGTCATCAGCAAAAACTTCTCATGAGAAGTCAGAGAAGGACATTCTAAGTTCCTCAGTCTGAGACCATCAAGAGCAGGATGTGGAGGTCATATGTCAACATCATAGAAGGAAAAGGATCATGTTAAGAAGCAATAGTTAAGCCAGGTGTTGGTGGCAAACACCTTTAATCCCAGCACTCGGGAAGCAGAGGCAGGCAGATGTCTGTGAGTTCGAGGCCAGTGTGGTCTCCAGAGTGAGTGCCAGGATAGGCTCCAAAACTACACAAGGAAATCATTTTTCTTTGATTATTAAGATCAAATGAGGATAAAATATCAAATTAATACATAAATTATATTGATATTAATAAAAATGCAATACTCACAAGTAATGAACAGATTGGATGAAGTGGACATTCAGGTTGCATTATGAGCCATTCCTTTGTCCTAATTATCAACGAAAATATAGAATATGTACAAAACCACAGTAAATTTTGTATCAACAAAACTCTTCTGAAATTGAAAACAAAATCACTGAATTCCGATTATATTGCTTGTTTTCCAAAACTACTGAAATGTTACAATCTGCCTACACGTACACACCCAGAGAGTAAGAGAGAGGGGGGGAAGGAGAGAGTGAGAGAGAGATACAAAATTGTTTGGGATAACTTTCAGGTTCAAAATTATCATATACATATTATCATTTAACTCATGTAATAAATGCCAAAAGGCATCTCACGGTTTCTTTTTCTATTTCTCTAACTTTTAAACTTTTACAAAAGAACAACACTTTTGATGCTGAAACCTGATAAGGCACTTCCCGTGGTCTCTCCCATCACCACAGGGGACACAGGGATCCTTCTCTCTGAACCAACAACTGACTCATCTGCCAGTTCACTGCAAACTGGTCACATTCTATCAGCAAGAAGGTGAATGTCCTGCAGCCCACAACCATGGGGGACCTTGGGAATTGGCTGTCAATGCTGCCTGCTGACAAATCTCTGTTATTCTTTAATCATTAACTCAGGTAAAATCTTTTCCTTTCAAGAACTCTAATGCTTTTGACAACTGGTAATCTTGCCAGCTTAAAGCAAAACAGATTTCAGGAAAAATAATTTAGGATTTATCTATGTGAAGATAGGAAAGTGTATGGTGTATGAAGGTCTGGGAATGTAAGTTACAAAGGTCTGAGGATGGTAGGTTCTCACAGGTGGATAAATGCAAGTTATGGGGGTTTTAGAATGTAAGGTATAAAGGTCTGAGAAAGGAAGGTCAAAGAGAGTAAAGTAAGGTGTATGAATTAAAGTCAATGCCAACTAGGTCAGCAGGAAGCAGTCTTCAGAACTCTATGTCCTTATTCTCTATCCTGCCATGTCTAACACACCACCTTTTTAATAATAAGAAACGGTGGGAATGAAAGGTTCAGGCATTATTCTGGCCTGGCCCTGTTACCTGGCAGAATCCACTCAGGAAGTACCCTGGTTACCCCAGGGTTTCATGGTAACTAAGTCTACAAGCTATTGTAAGGACCCCTTTAAATGACAGACCCCTGTCAAGTTACTCTCTCTTTTGCTCTTTTCTCTCAGCTCTCTGTCTTGCTCACTTCTCTCTCTTGTTCTTGTGCCCTCTCTCTGATCTCTTTATCTCTTTGCTTGCTCTCTTGCTCTTATCCCCCTTAATATATGACATGGTTAATGAAAAATTAGTAGTTGAATATGAAAACTACAAACAAAGCAAGAATTACAATACCACAGGGAATGTATGTTGAGCTTGTCTTCAATGAAGCTTTCTCAGTTGTTGGGGAGAAGCATTTCATCCATGCCTGAGTGTGAGATTTTCATGAGCAAGCTTGTGGGACTTTCCATGCAATAAGAGGGCAAATTTCAAGAACAAATAGTTAGAAACAGTCAAACATATACATTAAACAAATAATCATTTTGGCATGATTAGTAAAATCTACTTAAGCTACAGAAATTCCCAAATTCCCAGACATGTAGTTTTAATATTATTATGAATGCAGTATTCACAAGCAATGTAGAGATTATATACAGTGGGCATACAGAACTCCATGTGTGTTGTTATTTGTCCTAATGAATAAATTATTATAACATTTGTACAGAACCATGAGTAATCTAGTATCAAAGAAATTGTGCTGAAAAAAAAAAAGAACAAACATGAGAGGAGCTTTCCACTCACACTACCTGGAATGCAACACTTCACATAAACCCTCACACACATACACTTGTATAATTACAAAATCATATCGGATAAATAAATTACTCAAAATTATCTTTTGCTTATAATCACTTAACTCACCTTACAAATGGCCAAAAGATTCACTAGGTAAAATGTTTCTCAAATATTGACATAAATGGAAAATACAGTAAAATTGCATTTTTATTACATAACACACAGTTTGGTTTTGTGTTTATGTGTTTAGGAGTGTGTGTTTTTTTATGAGAGAGAGAGAGAGAGAGAGAGAGAGAGAGAGAGAGAGAGAGAGAGAGTCACAAGCACACATACACACAAACAGAGAGGGGGGATGGAGAGACAAAGACAAAGTGACTGAAAGAAAAAGAATATGTGTGTGTGACAGAACAAACAATGAAAAAGAGACCATGAATTTAAAAGAAAAAAAGGAGGTGTAAATGAGAAGATTTGGAAGGGAAAAAGGAAATAGTAAAATGGTACAATATTCTAATGTTATTTTTTTAAAATATACTTAAGTAAAATTAAACAGCTCATACATACATCAAAATATAGGATTTAAATTTATGAAGAAGATAATTTGGCTGAAATTAATCTCTGAAGCATTAATAAAAACAATACTTTCTAAGGTGTGCAGCTATATATTTTACTGAAAAGGAGATAAAGTTCCACTATGCTTTATCATATTGGTGTGTGTGTGTGTGTGTTTATGTGTGTGTGCATGTGCTGGTTTGGTGTGGGATTGGCACAAATGTCTTCATGGAGTTGACAGCCAGAAGATAAACTTTTCTATTGCTTCTATGGCTCATTTATTTCTTTAAAAATATTTTACTCAATATAAAGATACAGATATTGTGTATTTCATTAATTCATTCTCCATACCCTAACCTATAATACTTCCTCATATCTGCTATCACTGTTCTATTCTAACACTGAAAACTCCACTGTTTGTGTGTATTACGTTTGAATGCATGTGCTGTGTATGTCTCTGTCCCTGTCTCTGTCTCTGTCTCTCTGTCTCTGTCTCTCTCTGTGTGTCTCTGTCTCTGTCTCTCTCTGTCTCTCTGTCTCTCTGTCTCTCTCTCTCTCTCTCGTTTGTGTGTGCGTGTGTGTGTGTGTGTGCACACGCGCACATGCAGTTCTGGTGTGCATGTAACATACTGGAGACAAAATCTACTACTGTTTGTGTGATGCGTTTATTTCTTAAAAATACCCGTGGTTGTGAATGTCAGTGTAGGCCTTGCCACTCTATGGGACCTCTGGTAGTATATCAACATTTTTCCATGGACTAAGGTAAGTCTTTGGCAGCCCATACCATGTGGAGGGAAGCCTATTCAGCCTGGAAACATGGAAGAGGGACTAGGCTCAGGAGGATATGACAGACGTTTGGGATGCCCCATGGTTGTACCCTCCCTGGGTAGCAGAGCAGGGATTGGGTAGCAATTGTAAGGACTGGGTAGCAGTTGTAAGGGATTGGTGGGGGGTGGAATAGAGAGGAGGGAAGAGAGAGGGAGCAGGGATTGACATGTGAAACAAGCTGATTTCTAATTTGAACTAATAAAACAATTTAAAATATTTTTAATATACAGCTATAAATATTGTATACACATACAATATTTATTGTAAATATTGTAAATATTGTAAAAGGCCCACATCCAAACCCTAATCTAAAATACCTCCACCATCACACATGACACTATTCTTTGTTAACTTTGAGAACTCTGCCTTCTCTGTGTGTGTGTGTGTGTGTGTGTGTGTGTGTGTGTGTGTGTGATTGTGGATATGCATATGTTTTTGTATACTTGTGTGTGTGTTCATGTGTGTATGACTACATGAGTGTTATACTGGGGGCCATATGCTTTCATTTTATTATTGAGAATATATCTTAATGACAACAATTTCCATTACCTGTTGTCTCTCAAAATTCTCAAATAACACTATACACTATCCTTCAACATTATGACACATAGTCATTTTCCGGGTGACTTAGTGTTAGTGATATAGCTCACAACAAACTATATTGTCCATACCTCTACCATGACTCTGACTCTGTTATAAAAACAAACAACCAGGTAAAAATTTTCATTATAATCTCCATTATTTTTACAAATTTACTTCAGTGACTTGTCACTTTTCCCACATCAAGAACAACATGATTGTTCTTCCCAAAGTAAACTAGAGTTTTATTCTATCCATCTAGAGATTTCATGTATCCCACACAAGGATTTCAGCAGATTGTGTTTGCCCACCAGGGACCATATCTTTATATATGTGGATACACAAACGGAGTCCCCTACCTTCATAATAAACTATAAACTCTTCTCTCTATAGGAAGCCATTTTCACTTTTGTCACACTCCATAAACAATTCATGGAAAATTAGTTATGTGCCCTAAATAATGTTTCTGTGTAACACAAATATTTGGAGAAATCCTAGAGAAAAATATAATTGTCAAGTGAATGTTAGCTACTAAGCAGGCTGCTTTGCAATTTAATTAATAGAATCAAGAGTTTTATAAAACAGTGCATTAGCCCATTGACCAAAACCTATAAAATATCTTACTATTGGAAATTTAAAGAGGATAATCAGGATGATGCGAGTAGTAATTGATTAGGTGTTTTGGCAAAGCAGAACTATTAGGAATCAAAGGGTAATCTGAAGAAAAACAGAAACACTACGGATTCTAAAAAATGACAAGGAAATCATTGTATTATATTTATCCCCAAATTAGATATTATGAATAAAATACATGTTAATAAATTGAATTGAAATTAAACATGTTGTGGATATAGCACACTCACCAGGAGAATGAATAATATATTTATAGATATAGATATATAGAGATATAATTTAATATATAGTATTTAATATATATACTAAAATACCTCTAGAGACAGGGAGGAGAAAACTCATTTAGTGTTATTGGTAAGGGGAATCCCGGAGACCACCATGAGAGTATAGAATACTACTACTTTATTTGGTTAGTCCTAAGAAGTGACACTTAAGTATTCCATAATTCATTCCAGAATGAATGCTATTTAGTGTTTCCTGATAAAACCAGTTAGTGAAAATCGTAATTTCTAACAATATTGATAAAGAATTAGACATACTTGACATACTTCTCATATCTTATTCTAAAGCATGAAGGCTGTAAAGGCACATATCTGATAAGTGTGTGTGTGTGAACCCTCTTGTAAATGGGTCTGATGGGGAACCTCACCAGGGTTTTAGCACTTCACAAAGTTCATGAGATATAAATGTGCCCTAATAGGGATCATATAACTGCATCCTCCATATCCCTGATATCAAGTAATGAGGTCTGTGTATTATGTGTGTTCTTTGAACCTTACAGTTAGTCCTTTTTGTATCCTTGCCCTTGGTCATGAGGGTGACAGTATGTTTCTGTGGTTCTTTGTCTCTTTGCAGGTAAAAATACATACTGTAATCTTCATGATACATGAAGAAGTAGCCATACTAATGAAAAATTATGATAACCACAATTATCTAATTATTATAAAAGTCTAGTAAAAGTGACAACAAAGTAAACACATTCATTTCTGCTATTGTAAATCATGATTGGATGACATTGAAGGCAAAATGTGTCTCATAAATCCAAAATACAGAAAATAGAAGCACTGAATATTTATTATGAATAGAACAGAATTGAGAAAGTTGGTCTTGCTTTTATATCTAATATTCCACATTTAACGACTAGCAATTGCATAGTTTTCTAATTCAAAATCTGAATTTCACCTCATTATACCAAATTGGGTTGCTGTAAAGGTAACTTGAGTGTGGGGTATACTTCAGGTGCATTTTGTGATGTAGAGTAACAACTTATGTTCTACTGAATTAAGACTGTGAACAAGATTGTGGTATGATTGTTCAGTTCTTTCTACTCTGTGACTGTGTTTTTCCTCTCATTTGCAGAATCTTTACCCTTCTTTGTCAATCCTAGGGCAATGAATTGGCATGGATTACATATTTTCACATACATTAGGATTTTCTTATATGTGTGGCCAAAGCTCTGTATTGTTAATTGCTTATATCTGATTAAAAAATACCCATGTCTTCCTGTTAATGGACTTTATTTCAAGCAGGCTAAAATGAGTGTTTGACATGGAAGAAGAAAAGAGAAAATTAATTCTAAGGGTGTGTATTACATTCCTGATTAGAAACTCTCTAATTAGGATTTGGATCCTGAATAATCATGTAGTCTACACTAGCTTTAACTTTAAACCTATCTAATTAGCCTCTTAGTTATAAAGTTCTTTTATGTATATGTGAAAGGAGATTCCACTAAATAAAATCAACTTCAAACCATATTGTAGTATTACTTTAGTTCTTAAAATATCAATGTGTGACTGGGAGAGTGTATGAAATACTTACACAGTGAGATACTCATAGATATCCAAATTCAAATTTTGAACTTATTTTAAACATGACTATGTTAATGTAGAATCATTATTGATAATCTGCGAACTCTACATAGTAAACTCCATGATTTCCAGGAATTTTTCCCATTTTCTGCGTGTCATTATTTTCCTCATCTTATTAATTACCAGTATGTCACATTGTACTGAATTCCATACATGTAACTTTTTTTCTACAAAAAAAAGTGCTAAATGACTCAAATCCATACCTGTATTTTACATCATCCCACAAATATAATCTTGTTTAATTGCCATGGTTGAAGATAATAATGAAGGCTGAGCTACTCTGTATCAAGTCTCAACCTCATATTCTTGTTTATTTTCATTTCCTGACTACTCAGGAAAAATTCCCTTTTGAATATCAGCAATTATTTTAAAAATTGGACTACTTATTAATGGGAAAAGACTTAATGTTTAACTTTCAAAATCATTTTTTGGATTTTATTTGAGAATAAAATAAATAAAACTAAAAAAGGATAGAAAATCATAAATCCACATGCCTAAAGAAAAACCAAGATAATCCCTTCCACCATACAGAAAATATGGCATATTATGTATGGAATTAGCAGGTCCTTAAAGACAGTGTTTCTGTGTGTTGGTTAGTAACTAAGAATATCCACCCTTGTCATTTACATTTCATATTATCCTGGCAGGGTTCCTCAAAGCAGTTAGTGGGCAAAATAAATACTACACATTTGTGGTTTTTAGATGTCTGGTGTGAATGACAAACAAGATATTTAATATTTTGTAAAAGGGCATAGCCAGGTTTCAAGTGAAGCAGTCAATAATCAAATAATGTTCTTAAGTCCAATAACCTCAGCAAATTCTAGAATTTAAGAAAATTTAAAGTTCATTATTATTATTTACATGAGTAATCAACTATCCAGAATGAAATGGGGAAGCAGGTGGTGAAGGGGAACACACTCTGGGTGTATATGTGTGAATGTATATAAACAGGAGGGTCCTCTAATTAGTTGTTTCAACTACTGATGAATTAAAATCTGACTAGCAGTAAACTATGGAAAGTGGGATTTCATTACAGAAGAAGGTTTCCAAGGACAAACCTGTGGAGGGTACATCTTGGATCTGATCCATTCTGGTCACTCTCCTCTGCTTCCTGGTTGTCTTGAAGTGAACTTCTGTGATTTTTAATGTCTTGCCATAATGAAACACTGTTTTAACAGAGACTGGGAAACAATGCAGCAAGCCAGCTGCACCCTCTGCAGTCTCAAGCTAAGAGAAATGTTCCTTTGAATCACTGGTCACAGTAATGAAAAGTCTCACAAACACACCGTGAGTTAGTGACTAGGGATGCATTCCAACAAAACTACATTTGTAAAAATATGCTACGGAGGATTTGACTCTCAGTATCTTGAAACTTTATGTGTAAGAGGACATTTTTCCTTCCCAACTCTTTTCAGACTTACTGTATGACACACTGTTCAATAATATAAAAGGGAGCAAAAAATCCCAGACTTACAGAAGAAATACTGGGCTTCCATACATGTGAGTAAGCATGGTGGAAAACTGTGTTCCATGAAGTATGTATGACATGACTATTTCATGCTTCATAATGAAATGCATTGTAATTAACCAAACACATTAACTCTTTTAGTAATGAACTAACGAATAAAAATTCATGGTAACTTCAAAAAAAGGAAAGATTAATCTGAGAAGAAAAAAAGACTCAACAATTTGGGTCAAGGGTAGAACTGTAATTTCATGAATTTAAGTGGAAGAAAATACCTAGAGTCCTAAACTTTCAGCATTTTCCCAAAAGATAAAAAGAAAAAGATTCAATTGTATGCCATTTCACAGCGCATTCACTGGATACTGTCCTCAGAGAAACTACTGGAGAAAATGAACAGGTGGTGTTTGTATGGTTAAAAATCATAAACTACATCTAGATGAAAAGAATATCCTGTGGCATCTAAAAATAGTAAGATGTACACATAACATAAGGATTTGAAAATATGGCCACCACACATGCTAACACATAAAATATAAATATATAATTCAGTGTTACATACAAGAAAATAATTGCTGAAAAGTAAAAACCCTAAGCAGTTGGGTGTAACCATCTCTCTTCCATGACTGAGTCTGACACTCTCATGAACAAGCTTGTGACCTGAACATCAGGGTCCTGAAATAAAACAGAAATGTTAAAGCATGAAGAGTGAGAAATTGAAAATCAATACAGCTCTCTCTATATATGTCATTCTTTGGTTGTAATGGTAAAAATTCTTTTAAAATATTTACAGAACCACAAGAAATCCTGTACTAATAATATTGTCTTGAAAATAAGAACAAGATAGGAACATTCTATTCACTTCCTATATATTAAAATTAACCTCTGAAGTATTAATAAACACAATACTTTTTAAGATGTGCAGCAAAAGATTTTAATGCAAAGGAGATAAATTTCTTTTGTGTTCCCTCTGGTGGATCAGCTAACTCAGTGTGTTTCTACAGGCTCCTAATCTGCCATGTGATGCTGGAGAAATAAAAGTTTCCTAAGAGTTCGGGAAATAGCAGAAGAATAACAGGAGGCCTGGTATCAAATAAACAACTGAAGAATATACTTCTGACAATTTGAGGTACATGGATGACAGCTGGAGTTCCATGTGTATTTTAGACAAGTGTCCATAGGAATGCTCAAAAGACTAAAAAAATTTCTTTCCTATGAGGTAAAGCAAAGAATATTGGAGAAAATATAACTAATCCAGGAGATTTGAAAAAAAATTTAACAAGGGAACCACACACAAAAATGGTTAATGGTCAGCCCTGAATCATATAAAATTAACAATACACAGACATACACAATGTACTTCTTAACTTAGAAATATATATGCATATATTTATTGTTTCATATGTGTAATATCAACTTATAGTTTAAAAGATCATGAAATCGAAGGTGAGTAAGGAAGCATGAATAGGAGGATTTATAGGAAGGAAAATAGGAATAACTTATGTAATCATATTATAACTTCAAAACATAGTAATTATTTAAATACAAATTAAAAATTGCTCCTTGACATACATTCCTGTTATTTATCTTTTCCTAGAGAGACAGGAACAAATGTCTATTCAATCAGGATATGGCATCCATAAAATTAATAGAAAATTGCTCTAAATGTCTGCTTGGTGGCCCAGGAAGATGTTGGGTTTACAGATGGAACTGAGCCACACACATTACACAAAAGCTCAAAGCAGCAAAGGGAAAGACTTTTGACAGCTGCACAGGTATATGTTCCTTGCTCTGTATGCCAGCAGCTCCACTGAACAGACACCACTCCCATAATAATTATTTTTGATGTACATATATGAGGCAATATTAAGAAACCTTTTCAAACTTGGAATTTAATGAGCTTCTTTGATAGTGTAAGTGATTTCAGGGCCCCTAGTCCAGGAAATATCCCCCCAAAAGAAAATTCATGGATTCTCAGAAAACATATTCCCACCAGAGAAAATGCAATAAGCTGTGTTATGTAAGAAAAAACCATGGGGACAGAATGACCACATACACTTATCAATACAATTATTATTATCTCACCTCAGATGGAGAATTAGACAAGGATATAAGAAGTGATATTATAACTTGGAGGATATTCTAGAACGTATAAAGAACTGAGTGGATCCTTTTAAGCAAACACCTGTATGAGTACATAAGAATAATCTAATTAACAGAGTTTTTCATTAAAATATAATCTCTACATGCACAATACTCACTGAACCTCAGGGACCTCACAATTGATAATTGGTGTAATATGATGTCTGAATAGAGAAATCCATTATACTTGTAGCCCATGTGGACAAACTATAGGTAATATTTTGTAATGTTAATTCGTCATTTACACATACATAAATAAATTAAATCTTCATTTTTGAATTACAATTAATAAAAGCCATTAATAAAATATGACATTATAAACTACTTTTTTATTTTTTCGCTTTATTTTTTGGAGGGTCAAGACAGAATTTCTCTGTGGGGACCTACTGTTCTGAAACTCACCATGTATATCAGCCTAGCCTCAAACTCAGAACATTGACTGCCTCTGCTCCAAAGTCCAGCAATGAAAGCATGAGCCAAGACTGTTTTGCCAAAATGAATTCTTAGCACTTCAATTCTTATACAATTATGGAGGTATATATAATACTATTATTACATTATGATAAAATCAAGTAAACTATACATTCAGATCCAACTCTATGAAATGTCTTCCCACCACATCCCTACAGTGCCATGCTTACTACTGATCTTACTACTTACTACTGAGCTTTGGTGAAGCAGCATTTATTTAGAACTTCATATTACCCTAAAGCATTAACTTTCTAAGCTATAAAAGTCATACTAAAGGTTGTTATAGAAACTACATCTCAGAAAGGAACTGAGTGGCTCCTTTTAAGCAAACACCTGTATGAGTACATAAGAATAGAGTACATAACAGAGTTTTTCATTAAAATATAATCTCTACATGCACAATACTCACTGAACCTCAGGGACCTGACAATTTTTTGTATCATCTGAGTTATCAGAGACCTTACTTGTTGACCTTTTGGCTGTAGTAGCAGGTGTTACTCTCATTCCATCATACCTTGCTTCTGTTGAAGGCCCAGGCTGTGCAAATCAGCCTCTTCGCAGCGTATCTTTTCATAGAACACAGGGTCAAATATTTTAATCTGGAAGCACAATTCCCCTCATCAAGGATAGGCTTAATGGTCTTCACCTATGTTGCTTTATAATTGATGTTCTCTGTGAAGTTCTAATGAGGCTTGAATGTTTTCCTGAAGCACTTTATCACAAAATAATATTGTTTCAGTGGAGTGCTGCTTCACTACAAAACATAAAAGCACAAGATAGACCTCTTGCTTTGCTTATACGTTCTTGAATATCCTCCAAGTTATAATATGACTTTATGGACACACTTTACATGCTGGTCTATGTCACTTAAATGCAAAATCAATATTCTAGGAAAACTTCAGAATTTATCCAAATATAACAAAAGGACTTTCAGTCTTTTAATCTTGTTGAACATAATTCTCAGCAAAGCTGTGAAAAGTCCATGACAGTCTCAAACCCTTGCTGAGTACACAGCACTATCAACCCAAACAACTAAGTATCATACATAACTATCTTCACACTTAGTTCCCTCAGAACTACCTCTACTGTTCTGTAGCTTCTGACTTCCCTGGGGAATCCATTGTTGATGGACAGATAGCCCTAATGGCTACATGAACCAGGCCAGTCAGAGATTGATATGCATTGTATACATCAGTTTATGCATCCTGTGTCCCAAGAGTGAATAATGATAATAGTATTTCTCATTTTTCTAGGCTCCCACAGCCCTAATACTGATCTTGCTTGATACACAACTCAGCCAATGAAGGAGCCTAATTTTTTAAAATTGTTCATATCACCAAAATGTTTTATGTTGAATTATTTTTATTAAAATGTCTCACATATCTGATCTTAAATAATACCTATGGATAAAAGCATCCAAATAGGTATTAAATTGTATTAAAGGTAATACTTTCTATCTCTATCATTTTCTATCTGTCGCTGTGTCTGCCTCTCTGTCTCTGTCTCTGTCTCTGTCTCTGTCTCTGTCTCTCTGTCTCTCTCTCTCTCCCTCTGTGTGTGTGTGTGTCTGTGTGTGTGTGTGGGTGTGTGTGTGTGTGTGTGTGTGTGTGTGTGTGTGTTTATGCATGTGCTGGTTTGATGTGGGATTGGCACAAATGACTTCATGGAGTTGACAGCTAGAAGATCTCTGATAGGTGTCACTGCCCTCTGCCTCCTGTCACCACTTCCATGGTACTCCCAGTCTGCACCTTGACACTGACTTTCAGCCTTGCTGTCAACTATCGCCCATGTGTTCATCACCCACTTGGGCTCAAATCATTTCCCACATGAAAAATTAAGTGCAGCAACCTGGCTGTTCACACCACCTGAGTACAAACCACATGGGGAATTACGCATGTATTTTGTTCCTCATTTTGTGCCATCTCTCTTTTCCATCCCCATTATTTTAGGCAGGATTCCAAGGAATGCATAACCCACCCACACTAGATCGGGCCCACCCACGTGAGTAATGAATATGTTGGTGTGCTTCTTTCTAGATGCTACTCTAATTATCATGGTGAACCCTCAATACTCCTATGTTAAAGAGTCCATTAAGATGTTTCATCTGACCCAGAGATGTTACAAATTGTGCCACACTGAACTGACTCCAATTTATTCTGACTTCCAAATCATGCATGTGCTCTGGCAGGAAAACTCTCAGAAGCCTCCTGATATTATGGAAGGAAAACAAGGAAAGAAACTTCATCTTACTGCAAGCTGCCTTTTCTCTGCAGGTTCACTCCAAAAAGCATGTTTGTTGAGCTTTCTGATGGATTCCTAAAGGGAGCTTATTTACCACCTTCAATTATGACACAGCTGTAGATTCCCGAATAGGCTTCTTACTGGGTAGTATTAGAGGTGACCTGGAGCAGCCACAACCATAGTTCCATCTCATATATATCAGAAGTCATGGTACACATTCCAAAATTGAAGTACTCAAAGTTTCCACCTCCTGTATGTAAGACAGGCAAAATGTCAGTAGACAATACCCCTCTTAGTCAGCTCTTTTCAACATCTCTAAGGTCAAGTCTAACTTTCTCCCATCTGGTCTTGCAGTGTTTGGCTTTTTTCCCAGCACTGAGTCTGCATGGTCCCATGGTCTCAACTGGGTCAATAGCCCTCTGTCTGGCTTCCCTTCATTCAATCACTCTTGACTTGGTGCTACTAGTGCCTGTGGGAAAGAGAAGGAAAGTATTCTTCCATTGTACCCACATCTCTATTCCTCCCAACTGTCCATTTCCATAAGAGCCAAATAACAGTCAAGGCTTCTGCAGTCTTCCAATTTGATGCTACCAAAGCCCCCTATCTAACTCTGACCCCATTCTCTCAACCCCAGATTATCTCTCCTGTATCCCAGTCTCCTCCATGGGACCTTACATGGTTCTTGATTACATGGGGGGAAATTGATATGTCAGGAGGACATCTAGTCCATTCAGTACAGTCTGGAGGTTTTCCTTCTATGTGAGGCCTACCAGCGATGCCACAGGGAGATGGCTGAAATCAATGCCTTCAATACTTAGTGAGTCTGCCATTAAAGAACTACTAGAACAGTGGTGGGAAGAGCTCCATAGGCTTAGGAGAAAACAAAAGGTATAGACAATCCTGAGAAATAGATTTTTAAGTAATAAATTCCCATAAAAGGGAGTAAAGTTGAGAAATATAGTTTTTAAGTAAGAAATTCCCATAAAAGGGAGTAAAGTAATGTAAAAAAAAAAGCCAAGTAAAGAGGAAAAATACAAAATGTTTGTACACTGTATGATATTGTGTTGGCTTTTAATTGTTTGATTGCTGAAGAAGGAGCAACAGCTGCCAAGAGACAGTTAATTATAAACTCTGAATTTATGGAACCTACATATTGTAACAATGTTTTGACTTCAAAATTTAAGTCAAAATATATATTACTTTGGGGGAAAGAATTTGCTTTTATTTACATAGGACATGATAGGCTGTGGTTCATTGCAGATCAAAGAAATCCAGGTTTGATTGAGGAAGAACTGCAATATATATATATATATATATATTTATATCAATTTTCCATGCTCAAACACAAAATTATCTTTTGATGTTTTATACACAATGCACAATATATCTTAGTTTTAATACATATATGCATAGTAACTTTAAAAGTTTGTGTATTTTTAGAACAAGGGAACAGGACACCAACAAAAAAAGGCTCTGGCAATCCAGCATTCAAAACAGTTCCAAGGCTACTGCCTGAGATGATCCAGCCTCACAAAATACTCTAGGAACATGAAGAATCTTTTGAAGAACCTCTTTATTACCTTCATCGGGATTTAGAGAGCCCACCTGTCTCAATGCACCCGGTGTCAGAGCCACTGGCAACTGAAATATCTGGACATGATTTAAAAGGTGCAACCCTTCTTCCACTTCTGAAAGAGACTTGGTCAAGCTCTGCCATCTGAAGCAGAAAAGTTGTGAATTGCATCACGGTCAAATCAATCAACGACTTGCCCGCTTGCTTAGTCTTCGTTTTTGCTGAGCAGCCATCATCTTCTCTTCCAGCACATACAATCCAAAAGTCAGGGTGTTTATCCTGCAAATGGAGTAGTCCAAGTTTCAATCTTCTGTGAGAAAATAGAATAGTCATTCCCCCAAAATACCCACTTTAGTCTACCTTCCCACCTCTCTAATGTCAGCTTTTCCTTTCTCCCATTTGGATGTTGGCAGTGCCTGGTTATTTCCCAATGTGGAGTGTCTAACAAAGTCCTCACAGAGCCAGCCAATGGCTCTTTCGGACCTGCATCAGTAGCCCTCTGTCTCGCATCCCTCCATTCAGCTACTCTTGACCTGGTAATTCCAGTGCCCACAGCAGAGAAAGATAGGCTCCTTCCACTGTGCCCAAATCGATACTCCTCCCTCAAGCCAACTATCCTTTCTCCATCAGAACGCAACAGCAGTCACAGCTTCTGTGTCTTCCAAGCTCACACAGTCAATGCCTCTATCTGCCTCCGACTCCAATCTCTCAACCCCTGACATCTCTTCATGTACCCCAGAGTCCTCCATGTGACCCTAGGTCTTGCTTACACTGGGTGAATAGGCCTCCTACACTCATCAGGGTGGATGCTGGGGAAACTTCAGAGAAAAACATCCAAGAAAATGTTAATCTTTACAAACAACCAGTATCCAGGAAGTATCACTAAAGGGTTACAAACGAATTAAGTAACAATGGAGGAAACCCTTTCAGTCTCAGTGGCTCTGGCCTCTCATTCCCACATGTGGTGAGTAAAGAGACAGGATAAGTAGCTCCTGAACAGGTGCGGTACTGGAGAATACCCCAAAACATAAGAAGAAAAACTAGAAAGCAGAATACAAACACAAGTACCCTAGCTTGGAAGCCCATGAGTTTCAACCTAGCACTCAGGTAGAAGACACAGGTGAATTTCTGTTGTTACAGCATGATCCACCTATCAAATTCTAGGTCACTAAGAACCACATAGCAAGACCATTTAAATCACACATACACATTGTCTTAGGGTTGCTAGTGCTTCAGTGAAACATCATGACCAAAAGTAAATTCAGGAGGAAAGGGTTTATTTGGCTTATGTTTCCCCTTGGTGCTCCATCATTAATGGAAGTCAGGACAGGGACTCAAACAGGGCAGCCACCTGGAGCCAGGAGCTGACTCAGGGTCCATGGAGGGGTACTACTTTAGACTTGCTTCCCATGGGCTACTCAGCCTGCTTTCTATAGAACCCAGGACCTCTAGATCAGGGATAGAACCACACACAATGGCCTAGACCCTCTTTCATTAATCACTAATTAATGAAAATGCTCTACAGGCTTGCCTATAGTGGTATCTTATACTAGCATGTTCTCAATTGAGACCCACTCCTCTCAGGTGACTTTAGCTTGTGTCAAGTTGACAAATTATCCACCACAATAGAACCCTTGTCTACTTGACACAGACCACTATTTAAGATATAACCTTTCCTTTTTGAGTGTAGGAGTCAAGTTCTGTGGATTCATTCCCAAGATCACAGATTAAAATATATCATGAATAAATAAATCATGAATAATGTAAAAATAAATAAATAAATAAACAAAATGCAAAACAGTAAAGGACATAGAAAGTATGAACTCAGCAGAAGATTAGGATGAGTCGAATTGGGATGAAACAAACAAAACTCATTTTGTAAATGTTTGCTTATTAACTATGGAATCTTACTTAATAAGGCTGGCCTCATCTCAGATTTCTTGAGTCAAGTGGTACTGTTGCCTTTGCCTAAAAAACATGGGGACTCTGGTAGTGCACAGGCATGTAAGGTTGATTCCCTGGCTAATTTTTAAAATATTTTAATGGCTTTTGACATTGAGCCTAGGACCTTTCTTTTGCTTGGTAAGTATTTTACCATTGAAGTATACTGGACTTGGTTCAGGAAATTCTTTTAAATATTTTAAATATTGATCAAAAAAGAAATCTTCACAATAGTTGATAACAAAATTCTAGTAAGTTTCCCATGTAGAGTGTCACCCAAACATTAATCCTAAATCTTAGGAGGTGGAGGCAGGAGGACTAGTAGTTCAAAGGTAGCCTCAACAATGTAAGTTTGAGATGCCTTTGCTAGATACACTTTGACCCTTAAAACTCAGAAAACAACAGTAAAAATTCATTGCAATGTTTCCAAAATAATGAAGGTTCCTGGTTGCTTTTGGCAATGATAAAAGGGACTAACATCCCCAAATCTGTTTATGGTGACCATGTTTCTCTTCTGTTTAATATCCTTCCAAATTAAAAAAAGGAGAGAGATTAATCTATGATGAGAAAAGACTCCACAAACCAGGTCAGATATACAACTGGAATTTCATGACATTAAATGGAAGGTAATACCTAGAATCTAAATAAAAGGTAGAGTGCTTTCGCAAGAGTTACAAAGAAAAGATATGAGTGGACTGCACATCACAGAACATTTAGAACACTGTGCTTAGGGAAATTTGTGGAGAAAATGAACATTAGGGGTTTCTGTGGCAAGAAATATAAGCTGCATATAGGTGGAAAGAAAATCATGTGATTTCCATAGAAATAGTAGGACATGCACAAATGGATGTAGTTAAAATATGGTGAGCATATTTTGCCATGTTTGTTTGATGTCCTGGGAGGCCAGCCCTTTTCTGAGGGATGATGGAGGGTGGTAGATCTGGGAAATAAAATGCAAATTCACAGAACTGTAAAAATTTCATTGAGTTTTCTACACATGAAACTAATAGTGAAATATAAAAGGAAGAAAGACCCTCAAATTACAATATAAGCATTAGGTGTGGTGTCTGTGTCTTCAGCGAAAGTTTCTCAGGAGAAGTCAGAGAAGGATGTCCTCAGTTCCTCAATCTGAGACCATTATGAGCAGGATGATGAGGTCATGTGTCAACATTAAAGAAGGAAAAAGAACATGTTGAGAATCAATAGTTAATAATCATTTTCATATGATTAGTAAGACCAAAATGAGGAATAAATTATCAAATTAATAGATAAATTATATTGATATCATTAAAAATGATATATTCACAAGTAATAAAAAGATTGGATGAAGTGGGCAGTCAGGTTCTATTATGTGCCATTCCTTTGTCCTAATTATCAACATAACTATAGAATATGTACAAAACCACAGTTAATCTGGTATCAACAAAATTATCCTGAAATTGAAAACAAAATTACCGAATTCTGATTACATTGCTTGTTTGCAAAACATACTGAAATGTTACAATCTGCACATACATGCACACAAAAAGAGAGAAAAAGAGAGAGAGAGAGAGAGAGAGAGAGAGAGAGAGAGAGAGAGAGATGCAAAATTGTTTGGCATAACATTTGGGTTCAAAATTATCATAGACTTATTTTCATTTAACTCATCTAACAAATGCCAAAAGTCATCTCAAGGTTTCTTTTTCTATTTTTCTAACTTTTAAACTTTTACAAAAGAACAACATTTTTGGTGCTGAAACCAGAAAAGGCTCTCCAACCACCACAGGTGACACAGGAATCCTTCTCTCTGAGCCAACAACTGACACATCTGCCAGTTCACTGCAATCTGGTCACATTCTATCAGCAAGAAGAAGCATGTACTGCAGCCCACAACCATGGGGGACCTTGGGATTGGCTGTCAAAGCAGCCTGCTGACAAGTCTCTGTTATTCTTTAATTATTAACTCAGCTAATTTTTTTTCCTTTCAAGAACTCTGATGCTTTTGACGACTGGTAATCTTGCCAGCATAAAGCAAAACAGATTTCAGGAAAAATATTTTAGGATTTGTCTATTTGAAAATAGGAAAGCGTAAGTTATCTGAAGGTCAGGGAATGTAAGTTACAAAGGTCTGTGGAAGGAAAGGTCTAACAAGGTGGATAAATGCAAGTTATGGAGGTCTGAGAATGTCAGGTATGAAGGTCTGAGAATGGAAGATCTAAGAGAGTAAAGTAAGGAATATGAATTAAAGTCAATGCCCACTAGGTCAGCAGGAAGCACTCTTAAGAACTCTACATCCTTATTTCCTATCCTGCTATGTCTAACAAACCACCTTTTTAATAATAAGAAAAGGTGGGAATGAAAGGTTCAGGCATTACACTGCCCTGGCCTTTTTACCTGGCAGAATCCACTCAGGAAGTAACCCAGTCATCCCAGGGTTCCATGGGAACTAAGTCTGCAAGCAGGTGTAAGGGACCCTTTAAAATACAGACCCAGCCCACTTACTCTCTCTTTGCTCTATGCTCTCTGTCTTGCTCACTTCTCTCTGTCTTGTTCTCGTACCCTCTCTCTGTTCTCTTACTATAGTTCATTGCTTGCTCTATCTCCATTGCCACCATTAAGAAACATGGTTAATGAAAAATTGGTTGTTGAATATGAAAAATAGAAACAAAGCAAGATTTACAATAGGTATATATGGTGAGCATGTCTACAATGAAGCCTTCTCAGAAGTTGGGAAGAAGCATTTCATCGATGCCTGAGTCTGATATTATCATGAGCGGGCTTGTGAGATCTTCCATCAGGATCATACAATAAGGGGGGAAATTTTAAGAACAAATAGTTAGAAACAGTCAAACATATACATTTAAATACATAATCATTTTGACATGATTGTTAAAATCTATAAAAGGTACAGAAATTCCCAAATTTCCAGACAAGCAATTTTAATATTATTATGAATGCATTGTTCACAAGCATGTAGAGATTATATACAGTGGGCTTACAGATCTCCATGTGCTTTGTAATTTGTCCTAATGAATAAATTATTATAACATTTGTACAGAACCATGAGTAATCTAGTGTCACAGAAATTTTCCTGGAAATAAAAAAAAAAAAAAACAAGACAGGAGTATTCCATATACCCTTCCTGGAATGTAACACTTCACACACACACTCAGATACATACACTTGTATAATTACAAACTCATATGAGATAAAAAAAATCATTCAAAATTATCATTTACTTATAATCACTTAACTCATCTTATAAATTGCCAACATATATACTAGTAAAAAGTTTTTCAAATGTCCTCATTAATGGAAAATACAGTAAAATTTGATTTTTCTCTTACAGAACACATATTATTTGGCTTTTTGTTCATGCATTTGGAAGTGTTTGTGTTTCTATGAGAGACAGAAACAGAGAGACATAGAGAGACAGAGATAGAGAGAGTGATTGGGAGGGAGAGACAGATACAGAGAGACCAAGGAATATGTGGGTTTGAAAGAACAAACAATGAAAATGAAACCGTAAATTTAAAAGGAAAAAAGAAGGGTTAAATGAGAGGATTTGGAGGGAAGAAAGGAAATGGTAAAATGATACAATCATATTGTAATGTTAATTTTTAAAATATATTCAAATAAAATTAAACAGCTCATACATACATCAAAATATAGGTATAAATTTAAATTTATGCAACAATCATTTGGCTGAAAATTAATCTCTGAAGCCTTAAGAAAAATAATACATTTTTAAGGTGTTCAGCTATAGACTTTATTGAAAAGGAGATGAAGCTCCTCTATGCCCTCTCAGATTGATTGGTGACCTTGGTGTTTCCACATTCTCCTACCCTGGCACATAATGCTGAAGAAAAGAAAATTTCCCATTGGTCCTGGCAGTAGGAGAATCAAAGGAGCAAGCCTGGTATCAGATAATTAAGTAAAGAAAAATGTATGAAAATTTGAGGTACACTGTTACAGGCTTGGGTTTAATGTAAACTTTAGACAACACTCTGGAGAAGTGTATATTCAGGACTTGGTTAGAAACTAGACTCAACAGAGAGCTGGAATCCAACCAGGAGTATGGACTTCCAAAGCCTTGTGTGAGAGGACTTATATGAGTTGTCCTTGCCTCTGATTGGCTGTATACTATCATATAGAGAATAGCTTTGGTTGAATCGAGAGAGAGAAATGCTAAACCTAGTGATGGAAATCCAAACTGTGCAGTAACTATGAAGATTTCCATCAAAGCTGCTGTTTCATCTACCTGTCATCCTCCCTGTCTGTTGCAGCAGAAGCAGAAAAAATGAAAGGAAAACTTCTGGTTTCAATGTTATTTAATGTGGGATACCACTGCATTTTATTACAGAGAAAATGACCCAGTGGACCCTCAAGACTGAGCATGTATTAGGATGCTTGGTCTTAGTATTTGGCTATTGCCCAGAAGCCATTCCGATTTCTTCTGACCCTTTGCAAACTGCCTGTATCAGTTTGCCCCCAGAATTTGATTATTGCAAGAGCCATGGCCCTGATTAGAACTTTATGTATATCTTATTTCCCTACAAAGACCTGCTTGCATTAAGAAAGAAATGGTGGTTTCACACCAGTTAACCAATGTACCCAGTGAGAATGGAGTGTCCTAATTGTCTTGATGTTAATTGAATGATTTATGGATTTAAAAAAAATAACTTAAATCCTATGTATTTACTAACCTTTCTATCTCCATCTCACCATCTCTCCATCTCTGTGTCTGTCTGTCTGTCTGTCTGTCTCTCTCTGTCTCTGTCTCTCTCTCTCTCTCTCTCTCTCTCTCTCTCTCTCTCTCTCTCTCTCTCTCTCTCTCTCTCTCTGTGTGTGTGTGTGTGTATGTGTGTGTGTGTGTGTTGTGTGTTTGTGTGTGTTTCCTCATGTGCAGGTTTGATGTGGGAAACACACAAGTGTGTTCATGGTGTTGCTAGCCAGAGGATAAGCTTTTCTATTGCTTCTATGATACCTTCATTTCTTAAAAATATTTTACTCAATATAAAAATAATGTGTTTCTTGAATCCATTCTCCAAACAATAACCTAAATCTTTTCTCATACCTTCTATGCTATCACTATTCTATGCTAGCACTGAAAACCCCCCTCTTTGTGTGTATTTTGTGTGCATGCATGTGTTGTGTGTGTCTCCTCATGTTTCTCTCTTTTCCATTCTCCCTCCCTCCCTCCCTCCCTCTCTCTCTCTCTCTCTCTCTCTCTCTCTCTCTCTCTCTTATGTGTGTTCGTGTGTGTGTGTGTGTGTGTGTGTGTGTGTGTGTGTGTGTGTGTGTGTGTGTGTGTGTGTGTGTGCACAATGCAGTTCTTATCTGCATGTAGGTAACACACTGGAGACAAAATCTACTACTGTTTGTGTGGTGCCTCCATTTCTTAAAAATACCCATGATTGTGGATGTCAGTGAGGAGGCCTTGGCACTTTATGGGGCCTCTGGTAGTATTTATCCCTGGAGTAAGAAAGAATTTGTGAGCCCATCCCATGTGAGGGGATGCTCTTTCAGCCTGTACACATGGGAGAGGGCCTAGGCCCTATTATGGATGATATGACAGTCTTTGAAGATCCCCCTATGGAGGGCCTTACTCTCCCTGGGGATCAGAGGGGGGATAAGGTGGGGAGCTGTTTAGGGGTTGTATTGGAGGGGAGTGAGAGGGAGCAAGAATTGACACGTGAAGCAGGCTGGTTTCTAATTTGAACTAATAAAAATGATTTAAAAATATTTCATTCAATATACAGCTATAAATATCATATGTTTTTAAAAAGCCCACATCCAAACCCTAATCTAAAATGCCTCCTCCATCACATGTGACACTATTCTTTGTTAACTTTGAGAACTCTGACTTCTCTTTTTGTGTGTATGTACCTGGGATAGTGGGTATGCATGTGCTTTTGTATACTTGTGTGTGTGTTCATTTGTGTGTGCCTACATGTGTGTTATTTGGGGGGGGGGTTCCTTTTATTATATTTTTGAGAATATATCTTAATTACCACAATTTCCATTACCAGTTCTCTTTCAAATGTTATCATATAACACTATACACTATCCTTCAACTTTATGACACATAGTCAGTCATTGTCCAGGTGAACTAATGCTAGTGATATAACTCACAACAAAGTCTATTGTCCATACCTCTATTATGACCCTGACTCTCTTATAAAAACAACCAGGTAAAATTTTCATTGTAATCTCCATTATTTGTACAAATTTACCTCAGTGACTTGTCTCTTTTCCCACATCAAGAACGAAATCATGGTTCTTCCCAAAGATAACTAGAGTTTTCTTCTGTCCATCTACAGATTTCTTGTATTTCCAGGCAAGGAATTAATCAGATGGTCTTTGCCCAGCATGGCTATATTTTTATATACCTGCATACATAAATACATATATACCCTACATTCATGACATGTGGTCTATGTATTCTTGTCTGTGTGAGAAACCATTTTCAATTTTGTCAGACTCCATAAACAATTCATGAAAAATTAGTCATATGCACTAAATTATGTTTCTGTGTAACATAAATGTTTGGGGAAATCCTAGAGAAAAATGTAATTATCAGCCAAATGTTAGCTACACTGGAAGGCTGATTTGCAATCTAATTGATGGAATCAAGAGTTTCTATAAAACAGTGCATTAGTCCAGTGACCAAAACCTATAAAATGCCTTACTATTGTAAATTTCAAGAGGACAATAATAATGATACCAGTAATATTGGAATAGATATTTTTGCAAAGTAGATCCATGAGAAATCAAGGGGTAATCTGAAGAAAAAAACAGAAAAAAAGGATTCTAAAATGACAAGGAAATAATTATATTTACCCCCAAATTAGATATGATGCGTAACATACATGTTAATAAATTGAATTGAATTAAACACACTTGGGGATATAACACACTCACCAGGAAAATGAATATTCTAAAATAACTCTAGAGACAGGGAAGTAAAAACTCATTTAGATTTATTGGTAAAGGGAATCTCAGAGACCACCATAAGAGGATAGAATATTACCACTGTATTTGGTTTCTTCTAAGAAGTGATTCTTAAATCCCTACTGCAGAAATTACTGTATTTTGGATTTTGATCAATGAGAATTTGAACTTGAACTATATCAAAGCCTGATGCCAGAAAACTAATTTCCTGAGACCAGGAAGGTGTTAGCAAAATAGTTAAAGGGGGAAAGAGATGAAGTACCCAGCGAAGTTTTGATGCCTTTGAATGACCAATATGGCAAGATACCATTAAAGACAAACTAGTGGCTCTGATAGCTTGTCAGTTATAGTAGCTACTTAATGGGTTCCAAGGCTTGCCTAACAAACAAAAGTCATTTCTCACAATGCGAAACAGCAAAGGTCCTGTGGCAACTGAGACAATGGAACATAGAAAACCTTATCACTCCTTTCATTAAACATTCTAAAACTCTAACTACATTATAAAACTAATCCTTATACCCACACAATATTTTTGACACAGGAATACTAATCTTATTCAGCAGGTTGTACTTATATGAATGTCTCTCTCTCTCTCTCTCTCTCTCTCTCTCTCTCTCTCTCTCTCTCTCTCTGTGTGTGTGTGTGTGTGTGTGTGTGTGTGTGTGTATGTGTGTTCCTATATGTACTCTTGACCAAAATGAAGTGGTCATGAATTTGAGAGTGAAATGAGGCATACACAGGAAGATCTGGAGAGTCATTGATGTGGAAATTATGTAATCTTGCCTGGTGTACTCAATTTCTTAATATAGAAAATATTAGATACATAATAAGAGGACTTAGAAAATATTATTTCAGCAGAAGAGTAGGGTTTCATGTAAATTGGGATGAAAATGACAAAAACACGCAGCACAAATGAAGGAAACCGTGATGTTTATGAAGAAAGATTAATCCAGAAAGAAGAACAGACTCAAAAATTCAGGTGATGCATACAACTGGAATTTCAAGAACTTCAATGAAAAATAATACTTAGAATCCTAAAATTTTCAGTACTTTGGCAAACATTAGAAGGTAAGAGATAAAAGAGGATGCCACTTAACTGAACATTTCCAGGACACTATTTTCACACAAATGAGCAGAGAAAATGAACAGCACTTGTTTCTATGGGAAGATATATAAACTACATATAGATGGAAATCACATCATGTCGTATCTCAGAAATATTGAGACTTGTCCAAAATGTATGGATTCAAAAATATGGTGAGAAGACATGTCAATGCAAAAAAAACACAAAATTAATTGGGTAGTCACAATAAAACACTAATAATGGAAAATAAAAGGAAGAAAAACCTCAAATTACTATACCACCAGATAGATGGAGTGTCTATGTCTTCAGGGAAAGCATATCAGGAGAAGGCAGAGAATGAAGTCCTCAGTGCCTGAGTCTAAGTTCCTCATGAGGAGGATGATGAGGTCATGTTTCCACATCCTAGTAGGAAAGAGAAAATGTTTAAGAACAAATAGTGTATAATAATAATATTTATCTAAATGTACATATATATGCACATACTTAAGTAGAAAATCATTTTCATATGACTATTGAGAACAAAATAGTTTTAAAGTAACAAATTCCTAGATTAGATGTATTGATATTATTTATAAGTGTAATAGTCACTTATAATGTAGATAGTGGATGCAATGGGCATTCAGATCCCCAAATGTGTGGTTTCTCTGTCTTAATGATCAAAATAATTCTAAAACTTCTACACAACCACAATAATTCTGGTATCAATGAAATTGTTGTGAAGATGAGAACAAAGGCCAATCACATAATCTGTTTTAAAACTTAGTGGAATGTGCCAACACAGACACACATATACTAGTATAAATTGAAATGCATTTGTGATAAATCCAGGGCAAAAAAAATCACTTAACTCATTTTACACATTTCCAAAAGATATACAAGGTATAATGCTTCTCAAAAGTTGTAGGACAAATTGATACAACAGGAAGATTGGATTTTCACTCACATAACACACATTGTAAATGTTAATTTCCGTGCTTAGTTTGAAGTTCATTTTAGTACAAAACAGAGCCTCAAATCAAAAGTTAAAAATTTTGAGGCTAGAAAATTGTAGCAATAGTAAATTATTACATCCAGATATTTTGTGAATTATGAATTTACTAAAACATTTTAAAAAGACAAGATGAAGAATGAATTTCCAGACAACTTCTAATTCATAAAATTATTTAATGTGCTTAGAACTATGTCTGTAACCTAGTTAAACACAAACGTAATTCACTAAAAGAAAAAATCTTGCAGGAGAAAACTAATTTATAACTCCCATTATATACTCTTCTCTATATGGTGTTAAACATAGAACAGGAACTATAATAAGTCTAAATAAAAATTAAAGTTTATTGAATGGAAAAAAGTCAAAAATATTTTTTAAATTATACAAATATCCTTGCAAACCAAGACACCTCAAAACTCAACTTGTACCCTTTCTCTTGATGGTACTACACAGACTCACCAGTGTACACAGTTTGTTAGCCTCATTATATGGTAAAGATAAATAGGGAATTAAGGCTTGATGGACATGTGCTTCTCTTGTCTCCAAAGTTTGAAGGTACATGTAAACTATTGGTTGAAAGTATTCCCACAACTCTGACCACCTCCATGCATGTAGGCCAAACCTAGAAGTCCTCCCCCTTTTCTATAGAAGATGAATAATCCACAATTCTCACACCTGAAAGTGATTAATTCTCTTGCCCTGTGGAAGATCTTAGGGTTGACAGCCACATCCTAAATGTCAAAATTACGGAGAGGCCAATAGTAATTGCTCAGCACTCAGTATCTCCCAAACTAACGCATAAGAAACTGTGAAGAGGAGACATTTGCACCTAAGCCTACAACCTGACTGGTTTTGGACATGCATGGTGTTTCACCAGGCCATGTGCTCCCTTTCTCTGGTTCCAATTTTTCCTCTTTATAAAAGCTAATTCCATTTTCCATAGCATAATCATCTATGTTCCTTTAATAGACTGACAGATAATTGGACATTAAAAATCACAGCTTTGGGTAACTTTTTAGAAAATTCAAGTAGAGTACTTTTGAACTTTACTAGGCATTCCTGATAGCCTTCTTCACTGAGTGCTATAACAGAATGAAGGAAAGTGATAGAGAAAGATAGGAAAATGCAATTTATTTAGGTCTCTGGCTCCCATTGTTAACAGACAAACAAGCTACTTGTTTGGAGGCTGAGCTTTTATCTGTCTCCACAGACCTTTATCCTGGTTATTCACCAATAGCTTCCATTTCTGTCTGGACCTTCTGATTATGACAGAGGGCTGCCAAATGTAGCATGATGCTGAATCTTCAATTTCCCTTTGACAGTTTCACCAAACACTGTGATTATATTTATGAGTTATATCACAGTGTTAGACACTTATTTCTATTACAGTGTTCTTAAAAAAGTACTTGGATTAAATAAAGACACGTGTTTTACTGCCTGATCTTGCAACATTCCAAATTAGCATGGAGTGTATTACAAAGTCATAATTGTAAAGAAAGAATTATTTCATCGATATTTTAGAAAAGCAATTATAATCCAATGGGGATGGAAAACTCAGAGCATAGAGTGCCTTTTGGATACAATATTGACCCACATATGAACTCACAGAAACAATGACAGGAAGCAAAGAACTATGCAGGACCAAGCCAGAAATCATCCCATCATTGAGAAGAGGAAGGCAAAATAATCTCCTATCCCTAAGCAATAAGCCATAACCAATTTAAAACCACTTACAAAGGAAAGAAATGAAATTTCCCTAATGCAGTTTCATTGGGTAACCAAACTACACTAATGAGAGTCCCATGCCCAGAAATTGATTACCAACTCAAATTGGACTTAATCATATTTTGGAATGAATGCTATTTAGTGTTTCCTGCTAAAGCCTATTAGTGAAAATAGTAACCTCATATAATATTGATAAAAACTAGACACACTTCTCATATCTTATGCTAAAGCAAGACGGCTGTAAAGGTACATATCTGAAAAGCTGGTGTGTGAAACCCCTCTGTATTTGGATCTCCTGGGTGAACCTCACCAAGGTTGTAGTGCCTCATAAATTTTATGAGATCTAACAGTGACCTAATAGGGATCTTACAACTGTATCCTCCATACCCCTGATATGAAAGTAATGGAGGTCTGTGTATTATATGTGTTCTTTGAACCTTACTGTTAGTCCCCTTAGTGTCATTTACCTTCGTCATGAGGGTGACAGTATGTTTCTGTGGTTCTTTGTCTATTGGGAGGTTAAAAAACACACTATACTGTTCATGATATATGATGGAGTATCCATAGGAATGAAAAATTATGATGATGACTGCTATTTGATTATTATAAAACTCTAGTAAAAATGACATCAAAGTAAACACTTTCTTAATGTTATTATAAATCAAGCCTGGATTACCTTTGTGACAAGGTGTGTCTTATAAATTCAAAATACAGAAAATAGAACAAAATATTTATTATGAAGAGCACAGAAGTGAGAAAATATGTCTGGGTTTATATCTATCATTCCACAATTAACCACTAGCATTACATAGTTTTCTAATTCAAAATATGAATTGACCTGGAGAATATCAATTCATTATACCAAATTGGGTGTTTTATGGTTAACTCTTGAGTGTGGGGTATATATTTCAGAGGCATTTTGTGATGTAGAGTGACAAATTATGCTCTCCTTAGTAAAGACTTTGAAAAAGATTGTGGTGTGATTGTGCAGTCCTTTCTGCTGTGTGATTCTGTGTTTCCCAGCAGAAGTGCAGAATCTTTATCCTTCTTTGTTAATCCTAGGGCAATAAATGGGCATGGATTATATCTTTTCACAAACATTAGGATTTTCCCATTTGTGTGGCTAAAGCTCTCAATTGTTATTTGCTTAAATCTTATTTTTTTTTAAAAAAGACCTGAGTCTTCCTGTTAATAAACTTTATTTTAAGAAGTGGTGTAGATTGGAAGAAAGGATATGTGATAGGTAGGGTTTTAGTTAGGGGGGTGGTAGGGGAGGAGGGGAGGGAGAAGGGAACTGGGGTTGTCATGTAATTCAATCTTGTTTCTAATTCAAACGAAAGATGAAAAAAAAGAAGTGGTAAAATGAGTGTTTGATAATGAAGAAGGAAAGAGAAAAGTAGTTGTAACGGTGTGTCTTACATTCCTGATGAGGAAACTCTCTA